GGGGGACCCCCCGGTTTAGATAGCACGGAATAACAAAGCCGTCCCAGCACCAAATCCATGGCCCACCTGTGTCCGCCCGCCGTGTGTCCCCCGCTCTGTGTCCCCCCCAGGGGCCGGGGTGACCCCTGCGAGGGGCTCTGACACCTGCAGGGCGAGGGCGGTAGCCAAGAGGCAAATACTGGTGTTTCGCTCTTGCCCTGGGCCCAATCGTTACGCTTTTCTGACTGTCGAAGCACGACGGCCTCGTCGAGGATGACCTTCCCCGCTCCCCATCTCGTTGGCATTAGTTGTTGTTCCAAGAATTCGATACGGCCTCTCGAGTCGTTCCTGAGACCGAGAAGAGTTAACGCGTGTGCCATACCCGTCCCTTTGTCACACCTACGCGGTGCGGTGGGAAAACTCGAACACAAGGAGGTCACCGCAGGAGTACCCGCTCTGATTGCCAGAGCTGATAGTGAACTGGGAGGAAGGGTGGCTGCTGTCTCTCCCCTTTGCCAGCTGGCGTCGGGAGAGGTGCGTGTTTCTGGCGGGTTACGTCCCGAGAGGGGTGTCGGTTGAGCTTTGCTGCCTCAATAATGCTGAAACGGGTGTATTTGTGCCAAACGAGGCCTTGGTTTATGTCAGATACTGTCCCAACGCAGGTGAGGGCGTCTTTCCTACGTGAGTTTCAAAATTGGAGCTTTTTCCTACTGAACTGCTGATCCAACCCCTGGCTGCTCTGTTGGAAACTGTAAATATTTGGTAATTTATTGGCGCAACCCTACCGGCCTTGAATGCTTACCCAGCCTCCTCCTGCCACGGCAGGAGCCAAGCGAACGTGCATGAACAAGAATAAAACAAAGCCTGGGTGCCCTGGGATACTTGCTTGGCACCCTGCTGTGTTGTCCTGAGCTACGTATTAAAAGCCGTAAAGTCCTAAATCAAACCTTTCGTAGCTACCTACTGCTAAACTGGTGCGAATCAGCTTATTGCGGTCAGGAGGAGTCTGGTTTGCCTCTGCAGATTGCTCAGACTTTGTCTGAGCCAGAAGGAAAACAAAATCCGAGGCTCGGAGTAGTTGAAAGAAAGCAGGATTAAAATAGCCGGGGAGGGAAGGAAGGGGGTGAGGGAGTTTGGTGCTCCTCGTTTCTGTGTACTTTCCTCTGCCCTTTCGCGCTCTGCGCTGACTGGTCTGCAGAGCTGGGCCAGGAGGAGGGGAAGGAGGAGGAGGCCTGGCAGCCCACGCAGTTGCTTTGGGTCAGGGCTGGGATCACTGGGTTGGAGAAAGTAAATACAGCTTGTTTTCCTCTTCGGGTCATTACACAACAGGGGCGGGAAGCGATTGTTTACAATGCAGTTGGAGAGGGCTGATGGAAAACATCGCCAGCGACACTGTACCCTCAGAACGGCTTCATTTTTTAAGGCTTCAAAACTTTATAGAAGTGGAATGGTGCCAAAAACACAGAGAAAAGGCAGAGTCAGTAATACGCCTGTTTACAAAAGGGACCCAGGCGCCAGTTTCACGGCAAGTGGCTTGCTTAGCTCTTGGTCTGCCGCCCCGTGCTGAAGATTCCACTTTCCTCGATGCGTGTTTTCTCCCTTCTTGTATTTTTGAGATTTGTTTTTTCATGACTTTCTTCTTCTCATTCATCTGCTTTGTCTTGGGTTTCCCCTGAATACAGTTTCTGGATTTCTGTTCATTGCTGTTGAGGACTGGACAAAGGGGCTGGCTGGGAAGCGCCAGGGGTTTGAGCCCAGGTGTGTTGAGGGCACCAAGCGCTGACTTCTCCCCTGATGTGACGTGCCATTAGTGGTGAGAGGGTGATGCTCCGTGACCGGTCCTTGGCATGTCTGCAGCAGAGTATCTGTGGTCTGGGTGCGTGGGGGTAAAAATCTGACAGTAACCCTCCGCTTTCACGTGCTGAACCCAACTCTAGATGTGGAGGCAGTTGTCTTCTGTGCAGTCAGCTCCACTGAAGGAGTCCAAAACAATTCCCAGAACAAAGCTGTGGTCTGTGTCGAAGGAACAGGCTGTCCTGGCTGTAGCAAGAGCGTGAGGCCGCTTGACGACACCGCTGCACTTCCCATCAAGAGCGAGAGTCCTTGGGAGCGCTGGGCAGCGCTCGCACCTCCCACCACTCCTGGAGCGGTTGGTTGGAGTGGGCTGCGCTGCTCTTGCAAGGCTGCCAGCGAGATTCAGGCACTGTTTTCAAGGCAGCCCATAACCGGTGTGGTTACAGACGTGGACCTTAAACCCTGACTGGTCATCAGCTAACAGAAAGTGAGGTGGCCCCGTGCCCCAGTGTCCTGCCAGCATGGAGGCATTTTGCAGCAGGACACGTATGCCTGTGTCCTGTTGGTTAGCTGGAGCCACTGGCTAGGTGACAAACATAGAGGTTTGACCTCAGCCTCTCCGCGCCAAGTATTCCCATCCCAGGTTCAGTCCTCTGGGACATCTGCCTTCAGTTCTGGGAAGCCGCTTCTCTTTAGAGGAAAGGCAGCGGTAGATAAAGGCGGTGTGTGGAGCTGCGTTCCCTCTCCTCTTGGCAGCGTTGCCTTCTCTGGGGACTCATCTCCTGTAAGCCAGCCGTCCTTGCACCAGTCGAAAGACCAGCAGTGGATGAATTGTCTCACTGGTACACCACCGTGGGCTTCTCGTAATGGTTTTGCTTGTTGGTAGCTTGGAAAAGCGTCTAGATCTTGATCTGAGGTTGGTTAGTGGGTCAGCTCGTCCTCATACTCTGTGCTCAGGGTATTCCTGCTCTCGCCCTTGTGCTTGAAGAGCTGGGATTCCTTGAAATGGAGCTGCTGTTGCAAGTTGACACTTTGGTGCCTGTGTCTGGTTCTGTTAATGACTGAGGACATTCTGGGACATGATTTGAGCTGAGGTTAATTGTCAGCATTGAAGAAAATATTGGTACAAGAAGAACTGAACAAACATCCAGATCAAATGCCAGCTAGACATGTAGACCACAAATATTGATATTTTATTATTATTATTATTATTCTTTTACATAACAAAATGTCCTGACTGGCAGCCAGGAATAATAAAACCTGTATGTCCTTTGTTCGTTACTTAATATTTTCGTCACTACAAAAACCTCAGATATCCCCTTGAGCCAGAAGGCTGGAGGCTGATGAACGTAGGAGTTGCAGGACTGGTAGCCTCTTGCTGCCTCTGTCATCGAGTAGCCATGTGCCACAGACAAGTCATCTCCCTTGGCTCCTGTGTTCCCTCCGTGGTCGGTCCTGGGGGGGTCACGGCCAGGAGAGTCACTCAGGAGGTGTTCCCGTGTGTCACCCTGCCTGTCTGACATTCTGCAGCCGACCTGCAGCGTGTAAACACCTCCGGCTCTGTGGTCACGCGCTTGTTTGCTGCCTTTTGTCTTCACAAGGCAGTTTGGAAATAGGCCGTGAGAGAAAACGAAGGAATGAATTCAAGACTCTTGGGTCTGGCACGTCTCCCCAAATAGGCCCTGCAGATCCGTGCGTGTCTGGGCATGTTTGTGCGCAAATAGCAGTGACCCGGGCTGTGCAAAGTCGCTGTGCATGCACGTGTGTGGTGTTCTGCATTAATGCACAGTCCTGTCAGGAGTGCCAGTTCTTTGTTTGAGCAATTTGAAGTGTCCTGAGTAGTTCTGAGAAATTTGAGTGCATTCCAGCTGTCTTGGAGGCTTATAATTGTGAAGGTTGTCAAGACGGAAGAAAAGGTCAAACAGAAGCTGGAGGGAAGCGCTTGCAGAGGACGGCCTCCGGACGGCTCACACGGAGGGAACTCGCTGTTCTCTGTCCGAGGCCCGTTGAAAACTGGTATTAAACATTGAGCAAAAACCCCAGTTCCTTATCTGGACCTCTGATGTAAATACTGCGTATTGCCATCCAAACGTGGCACAGGAGGTACTGCCTGTTTGCCCCCCGTGCTCAGGGGGTGCAGTGAGTTGGAAGCCCCATTTTAAGCTGTTTGTATGATGGAGGTCCCGTGCTCACCCTGCGTCGCTCGCGGGGGGGTGACGTGGTACTGTGCAACCAGAGGACAAGTGTCTTCACATGAATTTAGACCTCACAGTTGTTGTGTGGCTCTGCTCAGTCACGAGTTGAGTCCTCATCATGGATTTGCCATACTCGTTCCTCAGGCTCAAAATCATACTCAGTTAAATTTTGAAACTGCTAAAAAAAAAAAAAAGGGGATGGTTCCTGTTTGTCTTTTAAAATCCATTTTCAAGCTCTACTCTGCAGCCAGGAAGATGGGGAACTTAAGCAAATGAAGAAGACTGCTGAGATGCTTCGGCAATCCCAGGGCTCCAGGAGTCAGGCGTTCAAAAATCCTTCCGGACATTACATGTCTTGTAATGAAGCTGTAACAATGAAATGGACAGTCGTGCAGACAGATCATCAGTTGCTCCACGTTCCTGTTGGTAATACCCTCCTGTGATGGTGGAGCATCAGGCTCTACCTACACCGTGTTGCAGAGACACACTTTCTATCAGACAGTAGGTTCAAAAGAGAGTAATTTTGGTCCCGAGTCATTTGTCCTGTCCGGAGCCCCCCAGCTTTGCAGGCAGAAGAAGTAAAACACGACCAACGATCAGAATCACTGCCAAGTTTGCGCAGTGCTGCTGTCCTGCCTAGCCTGGGGCATCAACCCAGGGCGCTGCTGGCCTCGCAGGCTCTGCCCTCCTCTCGCTTCTCCTGCCGCTGGCCTGGGAGCGAGCTCTCCAGCGCTGGGCAGGGCCGGGCCAGGTCAGCTCAGCTGCTGTGTGAGCCGTGACACATACAGGGGGTGTATTTCCTGGTGGTTAGAGGTGTCCGGCCTGAGGGTGGTGTGATATTACAAAAATATTTATTGGCGTTCATCTGGAATGACCTGCATAACTTGCTCGTGTCTTCAGCAGTTGCCAGCTCATCCCAGACATATCCTGATTTAAAACCATCCAATTCCTCCTCTCCTTGCAGAAAATCTCTTGGAGAGAGAACCACATTTTAGCAACCCTCTGCCCTGGGACTGACCACAGCAGCTTCTTGAAGAAACATGTTCATTTTTGCACCTGCTTTGGATCGGAGGCAGATCCAGCCCCAAGCTGGCTGGCAGAGCGTCTTGTGGGTGGCAGTGAGAAAGGCACAGGGCTGATGACCGGCTGTGAGCGGCGGGGACGTCGCATGCTCCCCTCGTGCCCTGGGCCACTGTGGGACTGGAGGGAGAGGCAGGAGCTCACAGCTGAATTTCTGGTCTCTGCTTTGCTTTCCACATGCGGCTCGTGCTCAGCTCTGGAGCTGTTGATGTGGCGGCGCATTGATGACGTTTCCAGGTGGTGTTTTTTCTTAATGGTGTTTCTGAACAGCATTCCTGTTGGTGACAGGCAGCAGGGCTGGTCCTGGTGTTCATCCCCTGCCCCAGGGCAGCACCGGTGCCTGACCAGTGTTTGTCTAGTGTCTCCTGAAAAATGCTGTCCCTTACGCAACTGCGCTGTTGGAGAACTTGCCATGTGTTTTCCTTCTGTTCCACCATCTGTATCTTTTGCCTGATTAAGCTCTTTTGCATCCAGGGCTGTCCTTCCGTCCTGTGCCTGCCCAGCGCCCGGCACAGCAGAGAGCCGTCTCCTGTAGCCAAGGTTCCTGGGCACTGCTGATAAAGGTTAATGCTCAGAAAGTCTGGCTTAAAATTTTCTACTGTTCACCTTAACTGTCAGAATGATCTCATCCTGCATTGCCATGGGCTACGTTGTGACATCTTTGGGAGAACAGCTTGGGAAGGACCTCCCTCAAGAAAACAGCTGAGATTCTGGTGTTTGGGGCAATTTGCAGGCTTTGCTGTTGGTACTTAACAGTCGAAACAGCAGTTGGAGGAGAAATAGGCAATTTTCCTGGCATATGCAACGCTACAAAAATACTCCTGTCTTTCAATAGGCCCTAGCAGTGAAATTTTGCTAGCAATAACCAATAAAAAGTGTGTGTTTTTTATCTTTGCGCCATCTGGAGCTCTTGCATGCTGGCACTGGGGAGAAGCCCCGCTTCCCTCGTGGCAGATGTGCGGTGCCCACAGCTGGGAGCAGAGATGGCGCTCTTCCCTCTGTATGTGGTTCGTTAATCTTTGCTCAGCTCGATCCCCTCTTTCTTGGAGGCCCTGAGCTGCCGCAGTGAGGTGTGGTGTTTTGGTTCTGCTCGCGGTGAGGAAGGGGAAAAAATGTGGATACGGGCTGGGCTGTGTAAACAGTTCTGGTTCACTTTACATAGAGGCTGAGGGTTAACTATAGCCCGGTGCTACAGAAGAGGGGAAAGTCATACCCTCAATTAGCACGGCTATAATTTGGGAGAGCTGCAGGAGAAGGGCAAGGCTTGTAAAATCAGACCTGTCGTGTATGAAATGCGAGTGTGCGGACACTGCTGGTGAAAGGGTGGAGGGAGCGTACTGGGCTGCAGTGCTGTACGTGGCGTGAGCTGGAGTGCGAGGCTGGCGTCTCCATTGGTGCTGCTCTGAAGGCACCTTAAATGATTTTCCCTTTATTCCTGTGACTCAGATGAGTCTATATATACATGAAAGGTAGTATTTATAGCCATTCCTTGCTGTGTGATGTGGAAGATGCTTTCCTGAGACACAGGACCAACCTCTAGCTCCCGTTCCAGGCTGAGGAGGGTGTGGATGACCATCACCTACTCCCTGTGGGAGATCTCTAGTCCCTGAGCTATTGTGCACACAGAAGTTACCCTCGTGCAGGGTTGGACGCAGGATAGCTGCTGCCGATTCCCAAGCCTGCTCAGTTGATCTCCAAGGCTACGTAGGATGGGACTGAGTGTGCTCCTTAGCAGAGCTTCACATGTCCTGGAAACTTCAGGCACCTGAACAGCTTAGGTGGGTTTGCCTCTAGCTGCCTTCCCAGATGAAGTGTCTGAAATGGGCATCTCCTGGGCCGAGGAAGATGTGCAGGGCTGTAGGTGCTTGTGGTTGCTATCACACGTACCTGCTGAAGGGGTCCTGCAGCCCGTGGAGCAAAGCAGCACACTACTGTCATTGCATCGTGGTAACCTGCAAATCAGCCACCTCCCACAGGGTCCCTGGAGATCCGAAAGGCTGCAAAAGCCCTGGGCCCAGCGCAGCAGAGGAACCGGGTCCTGGGGATGTGGCACGTCTTAAAGAGTGGCACAGGGGAGCTGCCACTATGGTGCATCAGGCTTGAGGCTGGTTGAGAGCTTTATCACTGGTGGCTTGTGCCCTTATTCTCACTGAGCGTGGAGTCAGCAGGACCTGGAAGAAAGGTGCTGCAGCAGCAGCTTGGTCTGCCTCTGCCCGAGGCACCTGCACTCTGCATCCCCCGGGGGACAAAGGGCTGGGGTCCTGCGAGGCTGGCGGGTAGCTGGGTAGATGGTGGACCGTTTTATTATCGGTGTGGCATGTTTTTCAGTGTGATGGTCCCTCTGTGGAAGCGAAGGCGGTGGTGCCTGCTGCCAGCCTTGTGCTGGAGTTGGTGATGCTTCCAGGGAGCAAGAAGAGGTACCAGACGCATGGCTGCCCTTCGGTGTGTGCAGCCTAGACTACTTGGATGCTCTGAGATGATCTACATTACTAGCCACAATAACATGCAAAGGCTGCAAATTTGCGTGTTGCCTTTGGCAAATTGCTTCTCAGACCCTCCTGATAATTACCTGCGTCGTTGGGGCTTCCTGTGCAAACAGTTCTCTGACCCTGCAGGAAAATGCGTGATATCTAGGAAGTTCATCCACACAGCCATCTGATGGTGTGGAGAGAGATGCAGGACAGGGTGGATAATGAAGCTCGAAAAACGAGCCAGCCATGAGGACATGCAGCTTCTGCCGGCACTGGTAGCACCAGGCACGTCTGAGTTGACGGCAGTGAAGCTGCCAAAAGTCCTTATGCTGATAAGTGTTGTCCCCTCACGCTGTGGCTCTCCAGCCTTTCAGATGCTCTGTCCTGCGGAAGCTTGTACACAATGAACATGTGGGAGTGGAGCTCTGGAGAAGAGGGAGGCACGTGCTTCTGGCTGGCTGCTGGAGTTGGGTGCTACGCCTTGGGGTGCTTGTGTGTGCTGGGTGCTTCTTGTCGCTGTGTCCTTCGGCGATCCTGAAGAGGCGTTGCTGCAGCAGCATCACGTGTGATGCTGATTGCTGCGTAACTCCTTGCTGATTGGGACCTCAGGGGAAAACTCTCTGTGTCAAGGATAACTCTGGATGCCCTGGAGCACTGGATAGCATGAAAAGGAAGCATGAGGAACTACAGCTTCAGTCATAAACCCCAAAACAAATATGCCCGAATTTTCCATTAAATCCAAATAATCTTGGTAGCCCGTGGAGTCCTACAGAAGAAAGGTCTAGCAGTTCCTAGCGGAGGGGTGTTTTCCTCTCAGAGGAGACAGAAATGGTGCTTAAAAGCTTCTGTGATCTTTGTACTTCGTAGTCTTGTGGCCTCTAAAGAAACTCCAGTCTCTTCCCAAAGTGGTATCTAGCCAAATGCAGTTTATAAGCAATAAGATTTTATTGAGTATTTAGAGGAGAAATGCTCAACATTTGCGGGGAGAAAACACACTCAAACACATGCACTTACCCTGCCCTCCGTGCTCCTGGTGGGTCGTGAGAAGGTGGGGCTGCGTGAAGGAGGGCAGGGGAGTTGGGCTTGAAGCGCCAGCGACAGCGTGTGTGGCAGGATGATGCCATGGCAGGTCCTGTGATACCCACATCTTGCATTTCTAGGCAGTCCTTAGTCCTTAGTCATTGGCCTTCACCCCCAACTTTACCTACTGTAATCCCTGAAACTGCTTCCCCTGGGCACTTCAGATGGGCCGTTGAAGGCTGTGAAGCACTTCCCAGAGTAATGGGAACGCAAGGAGGAGCGTAGGTCTCTTGTGTCCCAGGAGCAGCACACATGGAGCCGTACCTGGCCCTGGTACGGCTTCTTCCCCTCCTTTCTGCCGCTTTGAGTTGTGGAAAGCAGAGAGCCCTCTGGTAAAGCAGAGCGTTGAACCTCTCCTGGAAGCTCAAAGAGCATTCAAGCTTTTATGTGCTGCCTGTTGTGTCTGTCAGTAAACATGAACTCTGGAGGAAAATGGGTTAGAAAATGTGAGAGCAACTGCAGAAAAAAAATCTTTTAGTATGTGGGTCATCTCCTCGCTTAAGTTTTTCTTCCTGTTTCCACGACAGGTCTAGAAATGCTTTGTCAGGCCAATAGCTGTTGTAGCTGCTGTGTAGATCTGTGATAGTGAAGGAGCCCTCCTTGGCAAGGCGTATCTCTTGCACTGAGGCGCTGTGCCAGACAGTGCTTGGAAGTGCGCAACAGGCGGAAGGAAATGGCTAAAGCCCAGCCCCAGGTGGAGAATCACCTCCTCTGGGGAAACAGCCAGGAGACACAAAGAGCCTGAACTTCCAGAGCTGAGACCCTACGGCTGTGCTGCTACCTGGCACGGGTGGTATACACAGCTATATACAGGTTTGTAATCCTTATGGTCCCATTTAAATCATTCGGTTTCCATGTGTGGCTTGCAGGGTGGTTACCTCGTTGTTGCCTGAACTACCAGAGCCAGATGTTTCTAACTTCATTTCTTGCCTTCTTGCTTTCCAGCGGATCGTTGTAAAGAAGTACAGCAGATCCGAGAGCAGCATCCAAACAAAATCCCGGTAAGTTATTGTTCTTACTGTTCTGCATTAGACTTTGTTCTCGTGACCCCTCTGTGCTGCTGGACAGCCTCCACCAGCCGCGGAGGTTACAAAACTTTGCTCCCCAGAACCAACACAGGACGCTCTCCATAACCCTCCAGTGCCTTGTGCATGCCGGCTGCTCAACAGTAGACCACGTTCTCTCTCTCTCTTAAGCTTCGTGCCTGCCCTAGAGGCAAGGAACTGGTTTATCTCAAAACTACTTCCAGGCTAGCACAGCAGGGGAAAACCCTGAAGTGGCCTTTTGTTGTTGTTGCAGTAGCTACCTGACTTTTCCTGGATAACCTGGTAGGGATTTCTCTGCATCTGCCCAGAGAAAGATATGCGAGATGATCTTCGCTGTATTGAAAGCAGAGAGGCTCTGTTGGGGTAATTCATAGCACAGCCAAACGGTCATACCTGCTCTGTGCTTTCCCAGTGTCTGTTGTTGACATGGCATAGGTGAGACACCATGAATTGCCTCCAGTTCTTCCTGCCAGTGTCAGACCTAACATGCTGTCCTGCTCTTTGGCTGTGAGCATGCTTCTGATATCCTAGATGAGCATTTGCTTCTCTTCTTGAGAAGATGGAGAACTTAGAGAAATAACATGCTCAGGACTTGCTCAAATTAGTATTTACAATACTACTGCATGTATGGCCAAAAAATGGGATGTGTTCCTAGTTCAGCTCACTCTGTGTTGGATGAACATCAGCCTTGTCTTAAAATTGCATACAATCTCTCAGTATTTAGCCTTCAATGTTTAATGTCTCAAACTGCTCTTGGCACATACTAGTCCATTCCTGCCTTGCTCTTCTTTTGATTTTAGCACAGCATCTTCTAGCAAAAAGGATTCTTTCTCTTCCTTCTCTTCCACCAGCACTGTGGTGCCCATGTGTTGTCAGCTCAGCAGAGCAGGACTTGCCCCTTGCGGCACGCTGAATACCAGTATGCCGTATCATCTATGCATTTATCGACTGCCTCTTTTAACATGGTTTTCATGTTTTCGCTGTGTTTGCCAAATGACAGCCCTCCCTGGAGAGGCATTTGGAATTAGCAAAGGGGTTTGATCCCACAGCCCATGGGGAGGTTAGGGAGAAGGTGGCCCAGGTCACCCCCCTGTTGCTGGTAGGGATCACAGCGAGCCGTGCTGCAGCTGCTGCTTTCTTCTTGCATCTCCAGTTTCCACCTGGAGCCCTTGGGTGAGTCCCCTTTTGCTTTGACAGAGGGCCAGGAGGATTTGCAGAGGGCATGGCTTGTCTTTGTGCCCAGGGAAAGGCATTTCTCTCCTGTTTCTGTGAGGGTACTTCCAGAGGAGGCTGAGGAAGGGGACATTGCATGGGGAGAGAGCTGGTGGTGTGTCTGTCTGAGCCCACCAGAGACAAAGCAGCAGATAACCACTGCTAGTGGATAACTCACTGACAGGCTGAGACAGTTGGGGGTGTTCAGCCTGGAGAAGAGAAGGCTCCGGGGAGACCTTAGAGCCCCTTCTGGTCCCTAAAGGGACTACAGGAGAGCTGCGGAGGGACTTTTTACAAGGGCATGGAGTGATAGGACGAGGGGGAATGGCTTCAAACTGGAAGAGGGGAGATTTAGATTAGATATTAGGAAAAAATTCTTTGCTGTGAGGGTGGTGAGCCCCTGGGGCAGGTTGCCCAGAGAAGCTGTGGCTGCCCCATCCCTGGAGGTGTTCAAGGCCAGGTTGGACGGGGCTTGGAGCAGCCTGGGCTGGGGGGAGGTGTCCCTGCCCAGGGCAGGGGGGTGGAACTGGATGATCTTCAAGGTCCCTTCCAACCCAAACCATTCTATGATAGCCTGGCCTCTGCCTGAGGCAGGGACTTCTCCACTTGCGTTTGAAGGGAGATCACATCCCAGGACGCCTCACTGGCACGTGTATTAAGGAGATGGGCAGGAGCTCGGGGCTCCCCAGTGGTTCCCTATCCACCTCACGCCAGGGGCTCCTTTGCTGTTTCTGCATTCCCCAAAGCTGGCTGTGCTTCCATGGTAAAAAGTGCTGACCACAGAAACACGACTCTTGCTGAGAAGGACATGGCTGTGTTGGCAGTGAGGTGCTGCCCACACTTAGCTCTGCTGGGAAGGAGTCTCCACCTGCCCCCGGCAGGCACCTGCAGGCTGGTTTCTCCTCAGGCGGTTAGAGCAAGCAGAGAACTTCTTGCCTTCTCACTGGGACCTCCATCCACAGCCTCAGCAGATGCTTTAGAAATCATCTTCTGCCCTGCTAGAGGACAGACCGAGCTTACGCCTGCCCTTGCCTGCTGTCGGCCCCAGTGCTCTCCTTCCAGAGCCCGTTGAACTGGAGCAGCTGCAAGCTTTAAGCCAGCTCCAGAGAGCCCTGGGGAGTCTGAAATCACTGGGGAACAGCTTGTGCTGGGCAGCGATGGGCACAAACCATTTCCCAAAGTACTGTAATGCTAAATTGAGCGGGGCCTGGCGAGTCACGGGCTGTGCTGCTGCGGCGGGTGGGTCAGGGGAGAGCCACCGCTCACGCTGATAGGGAGGGCTGAGGGTGGCTCTGGGCCGTGCAGAGAGGCCGCTGTTAGGTTAGGTGATAAAAAGCTCATCTGCACACCCGCAGAGGAGCACGGAGAGGCAGTGGCAGGTGAAGGAGCCCAGATAATGCCCTGCCCCAGCATAATGATGAATGGAAGCCCAAATAATGGATGGAAATAATGGATGGAAACCCTTGGAGGAAGGGACAACCTTCTCTGGGCTCCTGTGAGGGCCGTGCCAGGGGGCTGCAGACCCAGTGTGCACAGCCAACACTACTCAAGATGGATCAACACCAGAGCACCTTTTGGACAGAGAGAGGTTACTGAATATATTTCTCCTGGAGGACCTCCGCCCTGCTCAGCCAGAGGGGGACAGGATGAGGCTGATGGCGCTGTCTGCGTTGGTGGGAGTGCTCTGCACGTCTGTCTTGATCTCTCTGGCTGGCTGTGTATATAGGTATGTATATGTTACACACGTGCATTTGTGCGTGTGTGCCTACAGGGAACATATTCTCAGCCATGCTGCTGGTGGAACCTGGGGGCATGGAGCTGTGGCAGCCTTGCCGCTGTCGGGCTACCAGATCTGGCCCTGTTCCCTCCCAAAATCCCTTTCCACCTCTCCGGACTGGTCCCCAGTCAAGGGTTGAGTTTATAAACGCTGCTTCAGCCTGCCCTGCGGTGGGGCCGGGACCCCAGGCTCTGCCCTAAGCCTTTCCACCTGTGCCCAGCTCGTGTTATTTCTGCAGAGAGATCTGTGGTGGGTTCCCAGTGCAAGAGCAAGTGTCCCACCCTGAGGAACCCGCCCTGGCCTGAGGCAGCAGCTGGGAAGAGGATACGGGGAGGGGAGGTGGCTTTGTATACAAGCCCTGTGGCCACGGGGATGTAATATTAGCATTCGATCATGCATTTCCCTCCAAAGCGACACAAGAACGTTTTGTCCGTTGGCCACCTGTTCCCGTAGCTGGGTTACCCAAATAGCAGCTCATGTTCTGGAAGCAGAAACTCTTGGAGCTCTCCTACATGACAGGCCCTCTTGTCCGCTCAGGGCACAAGGCAGCTGCTGCTTTAACAGCCAGGACATCTTCTCAGCCCATTCTTGGACTAATTGAGAGGCTTTTCATTGTGGGATGGGACTGGCTGGTAATTAGAGACTCTGTTCCTGCTAGATGTAAGTGAGAAATGAGGCACAGCCCAGGTGTATTGGGCCCTCTCTGCATGGAAAGGTATATGCACAAACAGGTGCTGCATCGCTGCCACGTTGTGCAAACTACCGCTAAAAACTCGAGGTCCCGCTGTTGCCTCGGTGTTCCCCAGTGGCCAGAGCAGCATCCCCATATGTGGCTGGTGTGAGCGTCCTGCCCCTTGAGGCTGTTCATCTCCCTATAGCCTAAACATTCATCTGTCTAAGTAAGACTCAAATTAAGGTAGGATGGTTCTGCTTCTCTTCGTCCTCCCTCCTGGAGGGAGGAGGGGACGTGAGCAGGTTGGTAAGGGGCATCCTGACGCATGATTTACTCTGTTGTAGGAAATTGTTCTTTCATCAGGTCCCCATCTTGCAAAAGGGGCCGAAGGAGGAATGCCAGGCTTTCCCTGGTCTTTTTTCTCTGGCGCTCTTAACTCCGTATCAAGAGGAGATGTGGCCAATGTGAGAATACATTGGTGGACTCATGGGAGCCTTCATATATTGCTTGTCCGGCGCTCAGCCTCCTGGGTTCCCCTTGTGAGAGCTTTGTCCAGGATGGGCTCTTCAGAGGGCAGTTAGGTGCAGAGCTCTCACCAAGGCGCCTCACAGCCCTCCCTCGTCCGGGACCTGCCTGCAACGTAGCTTGGCCCGTGCTGGTGGACCTTGGGATAAGCCCTGCGGTCTGGGGAACTCATCAGACATTCCCAGAATCCCAACCAGAGTGTCTGATTTGGCTTTGGTGTGGACAGGCAGCAGGAGTTCAATCGCTGCTGCTGCTGCTGATAGAGGCTGATCTGTCAACAAATGGCTAAGGGAAAGGCAAATTAATGTTCCCAGAGGTTGGCCGGATCCTTTTGGCTCCACAGAGCCATCTTCTGGGCATCCTGATCTCTGCATGCTGCTCCATCCCTCCACTGACCAAAGGCATTTGCAGTCTCCCATGTATTTTTGGAAAAGACCCGGGGAAAACGATTTATGGGAACTCCTTGCCTTATAGTGAAAAATAACGTTCAGTCTCAGCTCAGAGAGGACGACGAACTGATCAGTGTACAAGTGTGTGTCTGAGGAGAAAACAGCCAGGTACCGGAGAGATGTGAGAGTCAGAGCGTCACTGTAATGGGAACATGTTGAGCTTAATAAGTAACATCATTACTCATTTTAACTGCCTACCACCTTGTTCCTTAGAATACAAATAGCATGTTTCCAAGCCGGTTTAGAATAGCAATGGTAGCTGTCAGCAGAAACGCTTTAACAGAAGAAATTCATTAATTATAGGAGCAGGAAAACTGAACAGAAGTCACTGGTTTGCTGTTTCAGAATGTAGGTGAGGTCAGAGCTTTCCCAAGGAAGACCTCTTGCAGGGGAGGGCGGGTTGGGCTGTCGCCGTGGTGGCACTGTGCTGAAGCGGCCCTGGGAGCTCACCGCACAGTTGTGGTGGCACACGGGAGGAGTGGCCGTGGGTTTCTGACCCTTTTTGGAGTCAGTGTGTCTGAGTGTTGACATGAGGAGCGGGACTGGCGAAATCCAAACTCCCCCTTTCTGAAGGAGTACCTTGAATGGCTTCGCAGTGGTTTCTAAAAACTGCTTCCTTGGGAATATCAGCAGCTCTTCCTGAGCAAGCAGAGTGATGCCAAGTGGCAGCCGCCTGGAGTTGTGGCACAAAAGGGAAGGAAAACAGCTCTTGCTGTGCACCACGAGCTTGGTCCTTAGTTCAAGTCAGCAAAACCTGTGGTTTTGGTCAGTCTGAAAGTGATGTTAAAATACACTTCTCTTCCAGATCTCCCACATGTCGGGGGAGGTAGCTAAATCAATCCGCTAATGCCTACTGTTTCTCAGCCAGCCAGAGCAGTGGATGCTTTACTGCACTTGTCTTGGATGCTCTCCACCGTCTGGCTGAGGCAGACAGATGGCTCTTTGCTGAAGAGCTGTCTGCAGCCAACCTGATGGTCACTGCTCTTGGCCTTTTCTTGGTTTTCCTGTGAGGGTGAAGCAAAGTGGGGCCTTGCCTCAACTTCTCCACTTGTGTTAGTTCAGTTGGTGTTTGACTTTGACTCTGGTGCTTGGGGCTAACCCTACTGTTGATTTTCTCCCCAGGTCATCATCGAACGCTATAAAGGAGAGAAGCAGCTGCCAGTGCTGGACAAGACCAAGTTCCTTGTCCCAGACCATGTCAACATGAGTGAATTGGTCAAAATAATCCGGTGAGTGGGGTGGCCCCAGCTGGCGTGCTGTGAACCCGTCCTTGCCCACAGGCCCTGAACCCAGAGTGGTGGGGTGAGGGTGAGGCAGAGGTAGCTCAGAGGGTGGGCATCGGGACGGGGACGGGGATGTGACAGCCACAGCATCCATGTGTTGTGGTACAGACTGGTCGGGGGGGTCAAGAGGGAGCAGGTTCTTAGCATCTGCTGAAGGACTGTGGCCTCTCCCTCATCGGGACGCTCTGCGAGCTGATGAGGGGGACTCCAGGCCCCTCCTTTTATCCTTCAGCTCAGATGGAAGAGGTCCCTCTGCTTTGCCCTCACCAGCAGTGCTTGGGGAAAGGGGCTTTGCCGAGTGCTGGCTCAGGAGGTCCTGGAGCCCCGAGCAGCTCAGGTGGGCTCAGACACCGTGTCCTGAGCACGCGGGAGCGGGTCCTGGCTCTGCGGGCGTAGGAGCAGCACTGCTGGGGGAGGTGGACCTCGCTGTCCCAGCGCCTGCCCCGCAGGGGCTGACCCAGGCTCTCCTGCCCTTGCCCCCACAGGCGTCGCTTGCAGCTGAATCCCACCCAGGCTTTCTTCCTGCTGGTGAACCAGCACAGCATGGTGAGCGTCTCTACACCCATCTCGGAGATCTACGAGCAGGAGAAGGATGAGGATGGCTTCCTCTACATGGTCTATGCTTCCCAGGAGACCTTTGGCTACTGAGGCCTGCTGAGAGACATGTGGAGACAGATGAACTGTGGCGTGCAGGCCCCCGGCCTTGGAAGACGACACATCCAGAGGCTGACAAGAGGGGGTCTGTGCTGACTCCCTTTCCCTCCCGCCCGCCGCTCCTTCCACACACACGCACCCGCCTGTGCGCAGACGTACAGGCGCCCACGCACACGCGTGGGGACCTCAGCTCCCCATCCCGTCCCCGTCGCGTCCCCTCCAGCTGCTGTCGCTGTGCTCTGTGTGCCCGCGCGTGTGTAGCCTGCTGCCAAAGGAGATCGGCCAACGGTGGAGAGAGGACGGGGCACTGCCGCCTTCGCTTTCGGCACAGGGAGAGCCGCCGGCTCCTCCCGAGACACCAGTAAAGGGCAGGAGGTCTGCAAAAGCAGCAAACAGATGTTACCATTGCTCCCGAGTTTTAATTGATTTTAATTACACCCATATCAGATTCTTGGTGCTACTGAGTAGATGTAGGCGTCTCTGTAGGACTGTGGATAATGTATATCCTTTAGATTATTTTATTGGGGGTTTTTGTTTGGGTTTGGTTTTGTTGGTTGGTTTGGGTTTTTTTAGGGATAGATTGGAATGGGGAGAGGGGGTAATCTTACCTGTATTCTGTAGGTAAATAAATCCGGCTTCATTGCACTTTAAAGCATAGTAGATGTCAGAGTGGAATTTACTTTTAATTTATGCAGGTTTGCCATATATAGTGCTGCTCCTCTGTTGATAGTTGTACCTAGATTGTCTTTGTTTCCTTTTTTTTTTTTTCAATAAAATTGATTTCCCTTCTCTCTGTCTCCCCATTGCATGCAATTTTTCAGTCTCAGTGTGGCAAAGACTTTGCTCAAGGAATGTACTGATTTATATTTGCTATGTTCCCGTTCCTGTTTCTCATGTATTATACCAAAAAAATGTATATGATAAAATCCCACCCAGTTTAATCTATACAAAGGTATATATATATAAATATATATATATAAAATAAACGTAAATTCAAGTCGTGTCTTGTAGGAATGTTCTGTTTCCATCTCATCTGTCTCTGTTGATGTCCCTCGTGCCTATCAAGTAAGAGTGCTGCGAGTTTCCCAGGCTCGCTGGTGCGTTGTGTGCCTGCCCAGGCTTTGGAGCTGGTTAGTCCGAGCTGTGGCAAAGGCGGGTGGCTGAGGTCGAGGGGCTGAGGCAGAGGTGGAAGCTGCGCTCGGAGGACAGAGCGCTGGATAGCGATGGGGGAAACGTGGGTGCCCTTGCCCTGCCTGGGACATAGTGAAATCTCTTGTCCGGTGACCAAGTTTCCTCATGTGGGGGAAAAAAAAATCGAGATGGGCGCATTTGCAAAGTCTCTGCTTTTAAAAAAGACTTTGAGCAGAGCAGGAAATCTTCCTGAGCGCTCAGCCAGAACTGGTTTTCCGCCACAGGCAGAGGCCAATGGCCAGTTAGCATTGCAGGGTGTTCCCCTGCCCCGCGGCTCACTCTGCTCCCTCTGCTCTGCCCAGCAGAGAAGGGTTTAGAAGCGCTTTGAGTTGCAGCTGACTCTCTTGTTTATATCCTACGCCTGCAGGGGCTCTGCTGTCCAGGGAAGGAGCTGGTGCAGAGAGGTGGGTAAGCGCTGAAGAAGGATGGTGGGAAGTCAGCTGGAAGCACGGCACCGAGCAGAGCGTAGGTGAGAAGAACAGTTCCCCTCACAGGGCCTGGCAGCCGGAGCAACGATGGGGGTTCCCCGTTGTTAAGCACCAACCTCACGGTTAAACGCTCATCCCTGAGCTAAGGTCCTCTCCCACCCGCCTCCCTGTGGGATGGGCTCCTGCAGGTGATGGGGCTGTGCCTTTGGTGGCCCCACAGCAGCGTCAGCCCAGCTGAGGCTTCTCCCTGCGGGAGCTGGTAAAGGAGATTCTGTGGAAAGGGACCTGGGAGTCCTGGTGGAGAACAGGATGACCATGAGCCAGCAATGTGCCCTGGTGGCCAAGAAGGCCAATGGCATCCTGGGGGCCATCAAGAAGAGTGTGGCCAGCAGGTGGAGGAAGGTCATCCTCCCCCTCTGCTCTGCCCTGGGGAGGCCACATCTGGAGCACTGTGTCCAGTTCTGGGCTCCCCGGGTCAAGAAGGACAGGGAACTGCTGGAGAGGGTCCAGCAAAAAGCTACTAAGATGATGAGGGGGCTGGAACATCTTTCTTACGAGGAAAGCCTGAGGGACTTGGGGCTTTTGAGTCTGGAAAAGGGAAGACTTCGGGGGGGATCTTATCAATAATAATAAATACTTAAAGGGAGGGTGCCAGGGGGATGGGAACAGTCTGTTTCCAGTGGTGCCCAGTGACAGGACAAGATGGAACGGGCACAAACGTGACCATCGGCAGTTCCATCTCCACCTGAGGAGGGACTTCTCTGGCGTGAGGGCAGCCGAGCAGGGGGTGCCACTGCTGGAGGTGCCCCTGCTCTGGCAGGGGGTGGCACTGGGGGAGCTCCAGAGGGCCCTTCCGACCCTCACCAGTCTGGGATGCTGTAATTGCCAGACGGACGCCGGCACTACATCTGCTCCCAGGGAAACCAGCCCCACAGGCCTGTGCCCTCCGCCAGCAACAGGCGGCTGCAGCAAGCGCTCTGGGACCCCCGCTTGATGGGGGCTGGTGTTATCAGCCCAACTTCCAAACCTACTTTGCCTTCACCGCTGATGTAACCCTCTGTCTTCAGCCTCTGCAGGTTGTCCTTGCGTTTGTGGTAGGCCTGCAGATGAGGGTCGTGCAGGCTGTTGTATTCCGTGCTCAGCAGGCGGCAGAGTGGGTCTCCCAGATTGAAATAACCAGAGGGCTGGTGAAGCTGTAAGAGAGATTTTCCAGAGTGTGAAGGAGGCAGAAGGGAGCAGCAAAGAGGTGCCAAGCAGTACTTGTGAAAACGTAAAGGTCGTTTGTAGCCCAGCGCTCCTCTCCATCCTCCTGAAGGCACAGAGAACACCACAGCCAGCCTGCGGGGCCAGGCTGGACTGGGCCAGGCTGTGATGGGCTGGGCTGGGCTGGGCTGGGCCAGGGGAGAGAAAACAAACCCACCAGTGAAGCAGGCATCTTAGGCCACAGGGAAGAACTGTAGACCTTGCCACAACAGAAATGAAGCGTCAGAGTGAAAAGTTCAAGCCTGGCAGTTCGAACGCAGGAAATGGATAACGCACTGCAGTCTCCTGGGGGTGAGGCAGGCCCAGGGGGTGAGGCAGGCCCAAGGGGTGCGTCAACTAACTCTGCCTCCAGGAAGGCTCTGCCTTGGAAAAATGCACCACAAGCCGGAGGAGGAGGAGGAGGACACTGCATGTATTCCCCAAGCAGAGAAGCCCGAGCTTTTCCAAACACAGCACCAGGGCAAGCAGGAGAAGGTTGGCTCTCCCTCAAGAGTGCCCCGGAGCCTGGCTGGACGTGGCTGGATGAGCTGGAGGGGCACATTGCCCCGGCACCCGGACACACTGCTGCTCGCTGCAGGCAGGGCCCCGGTCCCCTGCTTGCACGGTGCCAGAAACCAGTCCAGAAAGCTGACAAGTCCTCCTTTTTGTCCCCTTGCCAGGGAGCCAGCAGCTTCCCTCTGCTCCCCAGCGCTGCCAGCCTGAAGGGCTGCAGGTCCCGCTGTAGAGCAGGTGGCCATAAAGACTTCTCCAAATGGTGGGGACCCCATAAAAGAGGAGAGCTTTTCTTTTTTTCTTTTCTTTTTCCCTTTTCCCCCAGCTTTGCCCTGCAGAGGACAGGCTGGGAGCCGTGCAGCAGAGCGATCTTGACCCCGAGCAGGAGGTCCAGCAGGTCTCCCACACAGCATCCCCCGGGGGAGGGAAGTCTCCGGCGCCCCAAGGAGACACGTGAGAGGGTTGGGGGGAAGCAGAGCCTGGGCTGCCCCACGCAGCACCAGGGCGATTCTTCATCAAAATCTGCTGATTTTTGGAAACGGTGCAGAGCAGACTGCCGAGCTGGAAGGTGTCAAACATCACCTTACCCAAACGGCCTTTGAAGTGGATCCAACAGCAGCCGGACGCACTGAGGCTTTCGTGCTCCCCAGGGTGACACAGGGGACACCTGCACCGTGGGGGAGGAGGAAGGATGAGCACTCTCACTAGGGAACTCATTTTTTGTTTGCTCATAAGAGTTCTAATTAAGTGTTACAGGTTGTAAGTTATGAAACCCTATGATGAGAGTGGTGAATAAGTGAATTCACCTCATAGCCGAGACTAGGGGCGAAGGGGACTGAGCCGTTTGCTGTGTTTGTTGTAGTTCATGAGCTCACGAAACAAAGTTTTATTCACAGAGTACATTGTCCTCTAAATCTGAAGACTCCTCTCCTACCACGCTTCTCCCCATGTGGCCGGGGAGAACAGGTCGGGGAAGTGATTCTGCCCCTCCCCTCCACTCTCGTGAGACCCCACCTGGAGTACTGCCTCCAGCTCTGGAGCCCCCAACATAAGAAGGACATGGAGCTGTTGGAGTGGGTCCAGAGGAGGGCCATGTGGATGATCTGAGGGTTGGAGCCCCTCTGCTGGGAGGAGAGGCTGAGAGAGTTGGGGTTGTTCAGCCTGGAGAAGAGAAGGTTGCAGGGAGACCTTAGAGCCCCTTCTAGTGCCTAAAGGGGGCCTACAGAAGAGCTAGGGAGGGACTTTTTACAAGGGCATGTAGTGATAGGACAAGGGATAATGGCTTTAAACTGGAAGAGGGGAAATTTAGACTAAATTTTTAGGAAGAAATTTTTCACTTTGAGGGTGGTGAGCCCCTGGCGCAGGTTGCCCAGAGAAGTTATTGAGGCCCCATCCCTGCAGGTGTTCAAGGCCAGGTTGGATGGGGCTTGGAGCAACCTGGGCTGGTGGGAGGTGTCCCTGTCTATGACAGAGGGGTGGGAACTCAATGATCTTCAAGGTGCATTCCAACCCAAACCATTCTATGATTCTATGATTTTTTTTTTTTAATATGTGTGCATGTAAGTGTGTTTCAGTACATAAAAATTCCCCCATGTTCCCCATGAAGCTGCAGTCGCTTCAGGGGTCGCCCCCATCCCCCATGGCGCAGGCGTCACCCACAGCACCCCTTGCCATGGCCCGTGTTCCATCCACAATTGGTAGTGCCCAATGAGCACCGTGCAGCCCTTCTCCCCTGCTCCCCCTGCAGCATTTCTCCAGTGTTCCTGACATCTTGCACCCCCGACTCTTGGACACCTGACCCAGCCCTTCCTGCCTGCTCCCGCCACCGCGTTCCCTCTTTGCTGCCAGCAGGGTTTCAGCATGAATTCGCAGAGGAAGAGGAAGCTGCCAGAGGTATGGCCCCGCTGCAGGGAGGTGGGCACCCCCCACTGCCCGGGGAGGCTGGAGCAGGTGGGGATGGGGTGGGATGGGGACCCTGCTCTGGGGAGCTCGGGGGGCCGGGGGGACCCATCCCCAGGGGACCCTCAGGTGCCCCGGGCTCGTGCCACAGGGATGCTCGCCAGGAGCATTCAGGTCCTGTCCACAGCCTGAGCTGGTGCCTCCTCTGCCCCTTTCCAGGCTGGAGGTGTGGGCAATGAGTTGTCAGCCAAGAGCGTGCATTGAGCAATGGAAGAAGAGATGGAGGTGGATGTGGTGATGGACTCAGAGGAGATGGAGGTGGAGGTGGCAATGGAGGAGGAGATGGAATGGGAGACTGAGATGGATGAGGTGATGGAAGTGGATGTGAAGAATGATGAAGAGGCACTGATGGACACTGACTAACCAGCAGCAGCACAGGCATGCCACCGGGCTGGGGCTGGGGCTGGGGCTGGGGCTGGTGGTCCCCGCTTGCAGGGGTGCCTGCCGGCCACGCCCGGCCCCCGGGTGGGGGGGGGGGGCGTGGGCGAATAGCCCCGTCTGCTTTGGGAAGGGAGCGGTTCCTTAGGGCCGGGCAAGCCCAGTCTCCCCCGAAGCCCAGCCGGGGCTCAGTGCTGGCGGCAGAGTCCCGCTCTCCCCAGCGTGTCCCGGGCTTGTGGCACAGGCAGTGCCCATCGGGGCCAACCCTGACCCAAAGCAGCTGCTGCTGTGGAGCCGGCTCGGCACCCCCCAGCTCTGCGCGGTGAGGCGCTGCTCCTTCGCCAAACCACCGTGCCGCTTGCTTTCCTTCCAGGGGCAGCAAAGATCCGGGCACTGGTGGAAGAGGAGGGGATGTTTGAAGAGGAGGAATTGTATATCGTTGTTGTTCACGTTGTTTTTTTCGAAATAGTTTTTGTTCGAGGTTTTATTTTTTTTTTTACAGTTGGAAATAGTTGGTTTTGGAGTTGTTTTTTGTAAATAAAGAGTTTTATTCATGTAAAAATTTATGCAATAAAGCGTTTTCTTCCCGTTTCTCAGCCACAAGCTCCCTGGGCATCTGCTCTGGTCCGCCGTGGCCTTTGCAGAGTGGGGTCTCCACCTGCTCTGGGTTCCCGGGGCTGGAGGTGGCTGGGAGCACTGGCACGGCCGCCCTGCGGGCTGGGGGTCCCTGTGCACAGAGGGGGTCCCGCTTACGGAGGGGACGGCACTGGGCGCCAGCGGGGTTCCTGGGCTGCTGGAGAGCGGTGTCCCCAACAGCAAAGCTGTCCCCAGCAAAGGGAGAGCTCTGCCCTGACCGAGCCCTCCTCCCTCCTGCCAGGGTCGGTGCTGTGCGTCTCTCCCCGGTGGGTCCTGGCTCCCAGTGCTGATTTGGCCGTGGCCCCCCCCCCCCCAGAC